TGGTTTGACCAGAGCAATACCATCACAATTTGATACAACCAATCTGGTATTCCATGTCACGCTCAAAAGCAGATCACGACTCGTGGAACGTGTTCGCCATGGTTAATAGCACAAGGCAAAGTTTCGAGATACGCACTGTCCAGTGGTACTCTGCTGGCGATACTGTAGCACTCCTTGCAAAGGTATTGGCCTTCTAGCGCATTTGCGGCATACGCTGCTGGTCCTGCGCCGGAGAGATGCCAGCCAGCCAGCGAGCTGCCATTTGGAGCCAAAGCAGCGCAACCAGCTCTGCGCGCCGTCCCTGACGTTTGGGCAGGGAGCCGAGTTTTGCTTCTCTTTGTTACTTCGAGCATCTAATATGATGGTAATGCAATGCTCCAGTTGCCCTGATAGACATACGAGGTGCATCGATGCCAAACGCATTTGGGTGCGTGGTTACTGCGCTGGAGGGTTCATACGCCGAAACCCCGCTGAAATGTCCCGTGGTGTGGAAGAAGCAGAATGTCGGCTTGCCACCACCAGCCCCTTCGTCGACAAAATCTTGTCTCATCCTCTTGCTTGGAAGTAAGACTCGTGGTCCCTTCGCCAAGCTTAGGCATTCACGGATATGATGAGTGCAAACTGCCGGAGCCATCAAACCGGACTGAACGGCGCACTCTGAACTTGCACGGGGTGCGTTTGGCCCTTGGCAGCCGGAGAGTTAGAACTATTCATCGCGGGGTTGGTGGGGCACGAGGTCGGAAGCTGAGACCAGCCAGTTTTGACTGCTTCAGCGGCTCGGTTCCGTATGAAGCATTCTGGAACCTTCAAGGCCGAAAGCTTGAAAGATTTTGCAGCCTAGCCCGTGGTTACATATCGAATCATACAGATTTCTCGTCAGCCTCAAAGTCGGGCAAGAATGTCAGGCCAGTTCATGCACGAAGTCTATGACAGCTCCGACCCTCTTGTACGCGACAAAGAGAAAATTTGGGAGACCGACATGTGCGGGACGCTTGCCGTGGCTTTCAAACTTCACCGGCCGACACCTCAGACTGAAACGACGTACGCCGGAAGGGACACTCAAAGCGAGTGCTGTGCAATTGCTAGGTTGGTTTGGGCGCCATGGTCTCGCTTCGTCTTCAGTCTACAGCAGGCTTGGACAAGTGAGATGCGCTTCTTGCTGACGGAGTGGGACTGGCAAAGGCCGGCGAGCTAATTAACACCTTTCGGGTCCTTTTCGTGATTCGTGATTTCGTTCTCCTGGGTTTTCGTTTCCTGCCCAATAGTTGCTTGCCAATTTTGAGGTCTCCGCACCCAGGTTGGGGCTGCTTGATCGCCTCTGGTCTCCGTGCTGCTGCTCGTCGGAGTGCAGCACTCTTTTCTGTACACCAGTCCAAGAGCAGGCCCAGCCGCTTTGAGTCCTTCATGCTCTGGAAGTAGGATCCCGACTGTTTGCATTCAGCTGGCATCTTTCCGGTGCTGCGCGGCGGCTCCGAAGCTTGTGTGGGCTGCGCGCGCGCTGGAGAGTGAAACCATGTCAGGACGGACCCTTTTATCGTGCTTTGGCTGCTGGCGCACTGGACAACATGCCAGTTGTGCAGGATGCCGTACGAAGCACGAGAAGGGTGATGAGAGATGACTCCGCGCGGCTCCGCCAGCTCCCCTTGCTCGATGTGCTTCAGGCCCGAGGATCCAGTAGGTGCCTTTCTGGCCTTGATGCCTGCTTATGCCTCCGATGTGCTGCTTCTGAGGATGGCCAAGAGCTTTGGAAGGCTCGGGACCTTGCACGTTTTGAGAACTGGCCATGGCATGATGAGTGGTGAAGCCAAGGTGCTGGCCTCTCGACAACACGAAGACGGCCATCGTTGCACAGCACTTGACTCAGCACGATTTACCTTAACGCTTCGCATGGGTGGGGTTGCTCTTTGACCAGGAAGTTCGCACTCCTACGTTTCGCCGATATCTCCAAAGGTTGGCGGCGTTGCGGCCTAAGAGATGTAACTGTGCCCGGCACCAACTTATGGTGATTGCTGCCCCCGCTGATCAGGCTGCCATACTGACTCATTGGCTCAACGTGCGGAAGTTGCGGCTGAGCAGTTCTGTCGAAGGTGACTGACTTCTGGCGATGGCAGACAGACACTCGCGCGGACACCGGGTGCATGAACGTGCTTACCCCTCGTTCTCGGTGGCGCAACGCCTTTGGTGAAAAACCAGGCTTAGAAGGAGGAACAGCATGCTGAAAGCCACACCTCCCCCATGAAGGGGCAAGCTACAGTCCGTATGGGATCCGCAAGTTGAATTCCAGCATATCCTGAGTTTGGGTGGAGCCTACTGAGCACAGAAGAAAGCATTCTCGGCTTCACAGTCCGACCGCTTTCTGCAGTTGGGCGGAGCCTTGAGGCTTGCCCTCAGGACAGGGCCGTGAAAAGGCATCACGTGCAATTGTAGCGCTGTGTGATCTGCCAAGCAAAAACATCAGCATGGACGTGACGCAATGCTGCCTACTCTTTGTACAGTGACGTGGCAGCTGCTTGTAATGCTGGCTTCAAATACAGAAGCTGGGACAAAGACTGTTTGTTCGGTACGGTACGGTGCTGTGATCACAAATTGCCGTCTCTGCGGTCAGAGTGACTGTGATTAAGTCGGTGAGGCAGCATGTCAATTGTAATGACTTGTCTGTCCACACTCCACGCATTTCGAATCTGGTTCAAGTCAGCGTGGAGTCACGCTGCTGAATCAGTTACCTGGCTGCCATTGCTGGATTGCAGTCTGAAGAACACACTGGCTGGTCATTGTGCGCAGTAACATGCCCACATTGCTCGGAGAGGCACCTTGAATTAGTGACTTGTCAGGTTTGATGAAGGCCAGGAAACAATGAAGCTAATACAGGCCTGCAAGTCTTGCCAAATCTTGGCAAGTTGTGCATCTGTACTGAATCTACAGCACCTTCTTTGAGAGTTTTGCAGGCATTGGTGCTGTCATTTGTCCTCTGGGGAGAGGGCGCCAAGATCAAGACATGGGTAAATGAGACCAGCGAGGCAAGCAGCAGTTCAACTGGCTCGGATGTGTTACAAGACGCTTCTCTTCAGTTTTCATTATCTGGCAGGGCTGCACTCCAGTGCAGACAGAACTGACGAGAAAGGTAACTCTTTCGCATTGCTGCTTGACTGCACTGTGTGTGTCAACTGTGAGTGTGTGCTATTGGGTGGGCCTTGGAGTTGCGTCTTGAGGCAAGTCCGTGACTGTCAACAAGGTGAACTTAGGACCCAGAAGCTTCTACATGCTGGCAGTAAGCTGGTGTTGCCATCCCTTCCCACAGGACCGAATACCAAAGCCTGCTTCGCCACAGACACCCCGCTAGTGCGAAAGGCCGTGGCGAACAAAATGCTTGATCCTCGGAGCAGGCTGTTGGGAGTGACTCTGGAGTTTCCACACAGCAGTCTCAATTAAATGCGCAAGAGCCAGACATCCACTATGGCAATCTTCAATGAAGATTGCCAGAGTGCGCTTCTTCTCATTCTCACCCCGGCTACGCTCTGTGATTGTAGGCAGCAGAGGGCATCCAGAGCCTTGACTGTGTAGCCTTAGACTCGTTGGCCCCCTAAACACTTTTGCGCCGGTTAGATTAAGTGGAGATGAGCTTAAGACTGAGTCAACTAATTTAACCGCTAACGCGAGACTGCCTCGGCAAAGGTTGTGGAGGGGTGAGAGCACAGAGCAGGGCAGCAGGCACCATCCAGATTTTGCACGGCCCAGGCACTGATTTGCAGCTCAGCTCTCGCTGTCGACTCCCCCTCCCCTCACCCCCCCCCCCTGGCGTTAACTTACTTCTGGTCTCCGGCCCTGAATCTAAACGCCCCAGGCCTCCGGCCTCGGCGGATATCTTAGATTTTGATTCGGTAATTTGATGATTGAATCGTTCGCGAATTCAACCTCGGAACAGTGGTAGAAAAAGGTTCTCATGTGGCACAGGCAGCATCTTCGCAGCTGAACTCGCACTTAACTTGGACATGTCCATTCTAAGGGAGAATAAGAAGAACAGCAGAAGCATTCAGGGGTTTGGCAAGCAGCCTCCCTGCCCCTCACCACGGCGTTGGGTCCAATGCCCAGGTTTAATCACTGTGGTGCTCACCACCTGTACGACTTCCGAGATCCAACCTCATTGTGTTGGACGTGGTCGACTAGCAAAGGCTGCTTCAAGCGAAGCAGGGTACTGAGAAGGCTTTGCCAAACCATATACTTTGGTGCTAAGCAACATTATCTAGCCATCCCTCCGCTCCTTCTTTCATTGCCTGGCCCTTCGACACCACACACGGCAGACATAGCACATTGAAGTCAAGGTGGCAAGTATACTACATGTCATGCTGTCGAATGCTGAAGCCCTCTTGGCACACAGCGCCCAGGCAGTGCCTGCAAGGGCCACAAAGAAGAGGGCTTGATGGTAAAGCGGCGCAAGAAGATTTGTGAGGCCGGTTGGGATGCATGCGACTCAGCAACTTTGCCAGAAACAGCATGGAGGTTTTGATTGAAGTGCGTAGAGGATTCCCCTCTGCATTCCTGCTTCTGCATGGCCTTAGCCTGAATCTCGGACGGCATGTTCGGCCCAAGAACTGTGCTTGTGCAGGCAGACTGCATCCCGGCTCAACCCTCGCTGACCGAAAAGGTTACCAAATCTTACTGTGCCCTGTCTTCATCTTACCGCTATCCTTAACAAGTATGCCGTATGCCCCTTTTTTCCACAAGGCTCCGAGCTTGTTGTCAACAAAGCCAACTATGGGCCGGAGGCTGTTGCCTGCAAAGACGAGGACTAGCGTGTCAACAGCTGACACAAGCTTGTGCCATTTTGCATCCCCGGAGTATACAAGTCAAGAGATATGAGGCTCAGATCAATAACGCAAGGACACTCCGTTGGTGCGCAGGTCCCTCGCGAACAAGATGTCAAGAGCTGAGGTTATCGAGTCATCGAGGGTGTACAAGCTACATACCCCGTCGAACTTCTTCATGACTGTGCAAAGCTAGAGGTTCCACCACTGCGGTGCGCACTACCTCTACGACTTCGACAACCCAGCCGGGGCTTGCTACGAATGGTCATCGTCAAAGAGCTGCTGGAACCGAGGCCCTGCTGCCCTGCTGCGCTTTTGAATGGGCTTCGAACGTCCCAGCGTTGCTGATTATGAATGATGCAATTACAGAACCTGCAGGACGAGGCGTAGCAGCCTACCTTTATTTTTATTCTCGTAGCTGGCATGCGTATCTTTTTGAGGAAACAGCCTGTTGTATGTTCTCAGTTCCGCGTCGTTGTGGCAAGGGGGACCCTAGCACCAACTATCTATCCGTCTGTTGTCGTGACTGACTGTAGTGACTCCGGCACAGGCAGCGGCTGCAAGACCCATGTCGAACAGCGAAAACTGATTGCGCGAAAGGCAAATCTGTGCGAGGCCGTGATGCTAATGTGTAAGAGCAGAGGAAACATGCGTTCAAAAAGCTTGAGCTATCACTTTCTTTCATTTTGCTTAATTACGAAGTCCGTGCCCAAATAGTCTACAGCCAGCACAGCAACAGATCATTGCATGAAGGTTTGGGCTTGCGCAACATCAACACCGAAATGTTTAGTCCTGGAGGTGCCGCTGATCGCAGTGGAGGGCAAAAGGTGCACGACCACTCCTTACACGCAACGTGGATGCAGAAGAGAATCAATTTCCAGCACATTGGCTGCATTGAATCTACGGTGTCAACAGGTTTGACAGAAGCCAGAGCTGCGATGGGTGGAGTGGGTTGACAGAGCAAGAGCGCGGGCCTCAAGTCTTTGGGGATGAGGTTGACTCAACTTATGTACGAAGGCAAAGCCAGGTTTCAGCAGTTTTGCCAATCACCTGCTTGAGGCTTTCGGATTGAGGCATATGGATCGTACAATGTAGTACGGATTTCATTGCAGAACAAGAATCCTAACTCGATGATCTCCACGGTCTGGCCGTTGTTGTCAGAATCCCTGCTTCCTTTGCAATAATCCAAAGATCGGCACAACTATAGGAGAGGACACGTATGCAGCGGTTCGCAGTTTGCGAGACAATGTAGTGTATCCATGTGGCGGGTGACTAATCTAATCTTGACGTTGCAATTCATTGCCTTTACCTGGGCCCAGCCAAGACCTCATATCAACATGACGAACCTCACTGCAAAGGTGTATGGAGAAGTGCAACGACAACGCTAAAGCACCAAACTGCCCTCGGAAAACATGCCGCTGGACAGCAAGCAAGTAAAGGCAGCAAGGGATGCCTGCATTCTGTGCCGCCTGATATTGACCAGGTTTGTTCTGTTGTGCTGGAATATGCTCAAGGCCGCGCCGCGGCCTTCTATCCGAAGAGTGGCTGGTGCCATTTGTACGAATCCTGCCCCTCAGCAAAACTGTCAGCAAAGATTTGGCGACCGAATGATGTGAGACAGCAATCTTCCTGCCGAATCTCAACACATAATGGAATGCATGGAGTCATGCGTGCAGGAATTGCACATTCATGCCCTACTTGCATTAATTCCATTAGCTTCCACTTTGTTGAAAAATGTCGTCCCACCACAGCCACTGAGGTCCAGAAACCAAGCCTTTCGACAGCGCAACTGCCATCATCGACAAGGTCTACTTGCCGATCAAACCTGAAAGAAGGTTTTTTCAAAGCCTGAATGTTCGTTTTGATGACGGGTCTTGTAATCTGGATAGTTGCATGCTCTGAAGTCGTGAATTTCAGATGATCTAGCCCAACTGCCTCTCTTGCAGGTACCGATGAAGGGAATCGAGGGCGTTCGGTGCAAGAGCAGACCCTACACGCCACTCCGCATCACTGGGATGTTACCACCCTGAGCCACAGTCTAACTGGGGCTCCAACCAGCATTTGGTGCTAGCAGGAACCAAGCACTGCAATCCAAATGGCCGGACGAACCCAGCGCAGCATCCATCGGTCGACTAGGGGTCTTGGGTCCCAGCGTGTACCGACTTTAATCTATGGAGAGCTTTTGGCAACCCGCTTGGGGACTTGGGAACGTGAAAATTCAGAAGCATGGTAACCAGTGGACCTCCTCCCAAGGTTCAGCACAGCGGATCAAAGTAATATCTGCGACGGCTGGAGCGGTTTGACGGAGAATCAGCGCCCATCTCAGTGAGACGTTTCTCTGCACCTGACACAGATTCCCTCTGATTAGCAAGGAAGGAGAGATGGATTCTATAGGTCCTATAACTACCAAACACTGTAGCAGTTTCCATTCTCTTTTCCATTCCTTCATTCCCAACTAACCCTCACTTAGCAAACCAGGTGTGCGCTGAAATGCAGCGGCAATGAGCGGGCAAAGAACTGCCCCCAGAAAACCTGTGCCTTGGCTGCGAATTGCAAAGCAGAGACAGCGAATGTGAGCTTTCTCATCTTCTTGGCTGCGTCCCAAATTCTTAGCTAGTGGGCAGCTTTTTTTCATTGCCTCCCATGGGCCTTCACAACTCAATGCGTCCGGAAGCCTGCAGTAACATCACGTGCGGCATTCCAGCTGCGAAGAGAAGGGGGAAGGGACGCACTGAGGCGTTGCAGCTGCTTTCTACAAAGGGACGGGCTGGTGCCACCTCTATGACTCTTGCAGCTTGGCGAAGTTGTTTTTTTCTTGTGCAGCTATCAGCCATCATCCACAGCAGAAGAGTTTGCAACTTCCAGGATCGACCATGATGAAGACACACTTGAATTTTGTTATCCGACCCCAAAGCCATGCTACCTGAGCCCCTCTCTGAGCAACATGTAATTACTACAAAGCCCTACTTTACACAAAACATGACCGCAGAGCCATGCAAGGACCAATGAATTGAACACTGGAAAACACTCAGAATTTCTGATAGTCATTGCTAGAAGCGGTAGTGCAAGCACCATCTGCAGTTGCAAGAAGACGAGATAGGCCCGGCAAGTAAACCTCTGGCCAGTTCCAAATTAGGATGGGCTCCTTTGTAGCTTCTTTGGGTGATCCCTGCAGCCCTTCACCTCCAGGCCCTGACATGGACGAGGTCTCCACCGCCACGGCAATTATTCCTGAGGTGGCCTCGTCAACTGAGTTGTGTAGCTGCCATGTGAGGGGTTGGGGGTGTTGCAATGGAAAAAGACGACAAGTGCCAGGCTGCCCGCTGGTGTCGCGGCAGCGTCATCCCAGATACGGCCTGGAGTTGCGAAGAGATCACGGACAGCAACGTGCCCCAGCCTGGTTCAGCTTTCAAACAGGTATTTCTCACTAGGCTGGCTGCACATCAACCATTTTTCAAACGCAAACGCAAGCAGCAGATGTAGCCCTCGCAGTGGGTCACCATCCTGAATCTTGAAGCTCTGCCTTCAACAGGAATGCGCCAACTCCTTCACAAGGACACCCTCAGAGTAGCTGCATGCTTCCAAAAGGAGCTCCAGCTGGCTAAGCACTCCCTTTGTGACTGCTGGTATAGCTGCCACTCCAGCCGCACGAACATCAGAGTTCTGCTACCAGTGCTTTGAGAAGTGAAATGCGAGAGTTACTGCTGACACGGCAGCTGCCACTGCTGCTACTGCTGCTGCTGCTGCTACTACTACTACTACGACGACTACTACTACTACTACTACTACTGCTAGCCCCTACCAATTATGTTCCCTTAAATGTAAGGGGCGGGCTGTCAAGAGGCTAAGAGGAAGAAGGTATTGGTGGAACGTGCCTCACCCAGGCAAAATCATCAAAATTGCTGTAGATGCCCATGATTTTTGCATGTGCGCTCTTCGAATTGATGTCACTATGCCCCCTCCTCGCCACCCTAGCCCACCCCACCCCACGCCCCCGCTGGCATCCCCATGCATTACGAAAGTACAAAGCTTTTTGGCATTCCACGAAAACCCGTATTTCCTCAGTTTTTTTCCTGGTTTTAACATGTGCAATTTGGGAGACACAGGTTGTAGGAGGGAGCGCACCTGCTGCTACTACTACTCTACTAAATCTAGCAAAAAAAGTTTTCACTACTCTACTACTACTCTCTCTCTCGGTCGCGAAAGTCCGTAGACTCCCTGGCGTGCCGGCGAGCTTAGCCCGGCTGCTGTATGCAGCACCCTACGTTTTAGGGTCCGAAGGAAAAGAAGTCCGTCCCGCAGGACCAAGCGACTTCATGCTAACAAAAACACATAACTTGGGCCCGTGCCGAAAGCAAGCTGCAGCCCAGTGCAAAAGAGTAACTCAAAGTGTTTACAAGGCAGAATACCAAAAATGCAAGAGTATTTACACCAATGACCCCGTCGCGACAGAGGAATCGACGTCTCGAAACCTCCATACATACATGTACGCTGCTCGTAGCACAAGGCCCGACAGCAGCAGAATGCCCTGCGTCCAGCAGCCTTTCTGCGCGTACAGTATGATGGTCGTAGGCCACGCTATGCACACAGCTAAGTACAAAATATACAGCGAGCAGTCGAAGTGTCTGAGAGCTCCAGTACCTGCGTTACTCCAGTCTCGAAGGCTCTGGGCATGTGGTGCAGCAGAAGTGTAGAAGGGCATTTTTTCCGCATCAGTAGCTTCCCCAGCTAGCAGTCCTGAAGAAGTTTGAAGCCAAACGCCTCCAAACGAAGTTTGTCTTCTAAGGTCAGTAGATGAGCAGCCCGAATGTGGTACGCCACCATAACTAAGCGCGTTCCAGTCCAGGGCATAGTACTGTGCAATAGTTTAGGGCTGAAGGTGACGTACGGCCGTTCGATCTCTAGGAGCCGGCCCTGAAAACCATTGACCAAAACGTCTCCACCTCCGGACTCGATCCAAAGCTGGCCCTGGCCAAAGCGACTTAGTGGGACCACCATGTTGACAGAATGAGGATGGTTATGACAGTCACGATAGGGAGCGGAGGCCGTGTTGAGGATCAAACTGATGGAGCTGTAGCAATGCTCAGGATTCAAGCTGTTGACCAACGACGTGAGTAACTGTGTCACCGCTCGAAACTGCCTGGCATGTAACATAAGTCCAACAGAAGAGGAGTACACATAGGCCCCGGTGCAAAATATCCCCGATCTGCCAACCTCAGAGCTGTCATCACCAACCTGACAAGGACGAAAGGAAACAGGGAGCATCTCCATCAGCCTGAGCAGGTTGGCTTCAGTGGCCCATCCTTTCTTAAGGAGGTCAACTGCAAAGTTCTCGGCCTCGCTAAAGCGCGGAAGGGACTCCGGAATAGCTGCCAAGTTCACCGCAAGGTTGAAGCCCTCTGCCTCCGAGTTCACTCTGCAAGGGGACGGCGAGTACCCTCTGAGGCTGTCCCCCAAGGGAGAGGCATCCATGCATACATCAGATGCACTGGCTTCAGACTCCGAAGATTCCCAACAGAAGGAAGGCTCAGAGACGTCTAAGGCTGCAGCAGCTGGGTGACACACGCCTAGTATTGACGGCGCTTCTAGCAGGAGAAGCTCAGCCCATTCCTGCTCTGTCATGCTTGCTGCAGCTCGAGCCTGCGTAAGGAAGAAATAATGAAGACGCTCACTGTCACAGCCATGACCAGAAAGAGACCACCAGGCAAGACTCAGCGAGTGCGAGGGGCACTTGTCGAAAAGGAAACGAAGGCACCTGGGCGTAAGCAACACCAGGCATAGACCAACTTCCTCAAGTAATGCACAGGCCAGTATGTTACTGCAGCAGTCTTTGTAGCAATGGACGCAGGCAAATTCGGCAGTATGTGCGCTTCGGCAATCTGCAAGGTCTCGAAAGACTCCAATATCCAACCAGTTAGCCCAGGTGCTTGGCCACCTGCGCAGCGAGATTGGATCTCTGTATGCGATCCTTCTTCAAGGAGCAGCCGCAAAGCTGCATGACGCTGGAATGGCAAAGGGCTGTCAAGTGACCGCACAAGGCCTTGGCTCCCTCACTGAGTGATCCTGTTTGCAGAAGAAAAACAAGGTTGTCCCCCGACATCTTATCTCCCATGGGACGGATCGGGTGAAACCTGGCCAATGCATGATCAACTACGCAGAGCTCGATGACGCCCTTCAGATGCTTGACCAAGTTGTCGGTGTGTAAGCCCGGTTTGTCCTTTTCAGGAACCAGGAGCTTGGTATCGGCTTGGTAACTCAAAAAGGGCCAGAAATGCCCATCCAGCGAGAGCCAGTTGTTGTCTGTAAACTCCTTGAGAGCAGCAGGGTCCTGCGGAAGCTTCTCTACCCTGTTGAGGATCTCACGAAAAAGGCATAGTACGAGCGTGGAACGCATGCTTTTATCCAGCTTCTCCGGGGAGTTCTTCTTCAGGTCTCTCCATGTAGACTGGACCAGACACAGCTGGGGCACGACCCCTGCATCTATGCCCAACTTGGCGTGAAGTACGAAGGAGACTTCGCAACGACCAAGGTTGACCGCATCTTCGTGATGCAAAGAGAGTCTGGTGAGAAGGCTCACTTGCTGCTCAAGGGCAGTAATGCGCTTCCCATTCTGATTGCCACCGCCTCCGCGTCCCCAATCTACTACTACTACTACTACTACCACTAATACTACTACTACTACTACTACTACTAGTCCTGTTCCGTTCCATTGGTATTCGTACTCTGATCTATGAGAATGGCTTCTACTGCTGCTCAAGACTTGCTATTACAAGTACTACTGCTATTTCAAGTGCTGCTATTACGGTATCACTGTTATTGCAGCGACTGTTTGAATCATTATGATTAAAGTTATTACTAGAACTGTCACCAAGTCTATTCGTATCATCATAACTGGTACTATCACTAGACCATTGCCATTGCTGTTTTTCCCATGCTTGCCATTGCTATCACTACCTTGGTTATTGCTGGTAGTAGTGGCATTGGTGGTGATGGTGGTAGTAGTAGTAGTAGTAGTAGTAGGAGTAGGAGTAGGAGTAGGAGTAGGAGTAGGAGTAGGAGTAGGAGTAGGAGGAGGAGGAGGAGGAGGAGTAGGAGAGTAGGAGGAGTAGGAGGAGCAGGAGGAGGAGACGTTGTAGTAGAAGCAGAAGAAGGAGTAGTGTAGCAGCAGCCCGCAGCAGCAGCAGGACGAGGAGCAGGAGTAGGAGTAGGAGTAGGAGGAGGAGTAGGAGGAGCAGTAGGAGTAGGAGTAGGAGTAGGAGTAGGAGTAAGAGTAGGAGTAGTACTACTACTACTACTACTACCACCACCACCACCACCAACCACCAGCCACCAACCACTGGCCAATGGCCACCGGCCACACTGGCCACAGTGACTGGCCACACCGGCCACAGCTGCCACCCGCCAACCGCCGACCGCGCCACCCACCACCCGCCAATCGCCAACCGCAGACGCCACCACAATGGCTAATGCTGTCATTCTCCCTAGTCACTGTAGGAGAAACAGCCTTCAGGAGCAAGGATGGACACTACTTCCAGCAGTGCGCCATCACCTCGCTCCTGGCCTTTTTTGAGGTTCCGTCTACCTACCCGAACATCCCGAACCCGTTGTGAGGGCTTTCTGAACTCCACCCGGTTCAGGGCCTTTTGTAGAGACAGACATTGCAGCTTTAATGGCAGGCATGTACTTGTGGTAAGATCACAGGGCATCAACACAAGACAAGCCCTCCAATTTCTCCAATCACCTGGTTGTGGCGCCTTGTTTGGCAGTGCTGTTCGGCACCAGTGTAATGCTGGGAAGCACAGGAAGCGCTAACAAACACTGGTATGTGTGGTGAACAGTCGCTTGAGACTGCCCAGGCTACATGTTATGCAGCAGAATTTTGGGGCTACCTTGAGCACACCAAGCCAGCTCTTCATCAACCTCTGCTGGCGACATCTCTGCTGTCCGCTTGAATAATGTATGTTTTACGCAGCATATGTTTTGTTTTCTGTCAGTGACTAGCAACAGTTTGAGTTCCATTCTCTAGGCTCAAGCACTGTTACGGGCCCAATGCATTGCGAACCGGATGTTCTCGGCGCAGGGCGTTCTTCTGGTTTGGGCATTGATGCTCTGGCAATCGGATACACTCAGAAATAGTAGTTAGTAGTTATGTATTTATCAAGATCGGGGCATGGCTGTTCTGGGAACTGGATGCATGCGGGAATGGGCGTTTTTGTCGGGGTCAATTTAATGAAAACCCGCCCTGGACCAATCTCCAAACAAGGGTCTCTTAATCCAGAACTTGGGGGCTTGAGTGTCTGTGTGGTCGCCATTGTCGTAGTAGTAGCAGTAGCATGAGTTTTACCCTCAATAATGGGAGTAGGAAAGAAGGAAGAGCGGGAGAGGATTTCCATTTCATGTCAATCGCAAGCCCTGTGAGCTGATGTGTTTCTAAACGAATTTCAGGACCGATTCAGGACCCTTAATTTTTGTTCCTCGTCACCACCCATCTGTGAGCCCAACCCCCGTGTGGATACAGGAACATCGTAAAGTTAGTCTGCAATGTGATGGATCGCAATTAAACCCGTGAACAACGGAATGATGCCTGCACTAGTATGTTCTTTCGGCATTCCCGGGTTGCATTGGTCTTGTGGGGCCACTCAAGCCGGAGCTGAAATGCAATCTCCAGGGTTTGTGTTCTCCAACGACAATTCAATGGATTTAGTAAATTCAGAGCCTGCAATCCTCACGCAAGCAGCAATGACGGTTAGCGGGGAGCCCATGTATGTGTGGGTTCTTCTAGATATCTTCATTCTCCTGTCAGACTCTAGGAATGCGTACGGACATGTACGGCCCAGATTCAGCCGGCCCCAAGTCCCTCCCAAGAAGCCGAGGAACGGTCAATGCCTGGCAGCAGGAGGGCTCTGTAAGCCGGTCAGCGTGAGCCGAGCCTGGGCCCCAGGATGTCCAAGGCCGCGCCATACTCTACGGTAGCTCCTCAAAAGCTAGAGTTCATCTGCTTGCAAGGGAGAGTTTTTCATGCTGTGAGAGATCGTGCACTCAACCTTCTGACCTCTACCCATTTGCTGCTTTCTACCTGCACAGGGGGTGCATTCAAGAAGAAGCCACGTTTCCAAGCTTCGCCTTTCATTGCAGCAGCCTTGCCAAGACTTATGGGTCCATGAAAGTGGATGACAAGACCTACCAGAAGTTTTGGTGGTTCAAGAAGGGCTCCAAATGGCCCACCGGCAGCTGGGCTTCAAAAGTGAATGTTGGATGTCATCCAGCATCAAATCATGTACTCGTGCTCACCATGGAAGTGAAAGATGAGTCGGCATGTGTTTCCCAAATCGATGCACCACCTAGTACGGCAAATGCGCAAGCAGGAAACGTGACGGGAGCTAGATCCCCCGACCGTTTCTGCACGAAACGTCTAGCTACCCAATAAGAGTTGTGGCTCGTTCATCACGTGCTACATTGCAGGAGGCCCGACTGATTCAGGGACCTTCGCTGTTGAAGTTACTGGTGTGCGCCTTGCCTGGCTACAATGGCTGCTAACCAGGAAAGACTGATGTCTTGGGCGACAATTTCGGAGACTGCCCTGCTCTCAGTGGAGGCTTTGGATGCGTAGCTTCGAGGACTAGGAGTGGAGAGTCAGTACGGTGTTCAGACGATGATGATGCATCATGTAGCTTCAGCGAGGGCCTAGGACGGGACCATCCGCTGCAATGCAGAACAAGGCTTTTGATGATACAGAACCTGTATCCACCGCCACCTCCGTGGCTTAGCAAGGTAAAGGCACACTGGCACGCAGAATCATGCAACCAAACAGTTGGATCAATGGAGCAGCTGAGGCAAGTCCTCGGACGCGGTTTGCTTCCAGAAGCTTCCAGAGGCTGGTAGATTAAGAGAAGTGTCATCGTCTGCGAACCTCAGTGGATTCATGACGCAAGCCTTCCGCCTGACAGGTGAAGGAGGAGGGCCTGCTTCTTCTGGCCATTGCTTCTTGGTGCCAAAAAGTGCAAAGTATTTGATCCGTATCAACTCTTTCCCGGACCCGGAGTCTTCCACACTCTGATGCATTCGGCTGCGTAAAACGAAGAAATCAGCATTCCTGAAACAACCGTGCATTACATCTGCCTGAGGGAGAGCTGCAGCTAGCTTAGCTAGCTCGTAGTTCCGAGGACAGTGAGGGCAATCAGTTCGAGTGGACCTTCGACAGCCTCAACCCGGTTCCTTGGCCCGATCAGAGTTTACAGGTTCAACATGTTTGACATATCTTCCGACAGCACAGCGATACTCCCCAATGTCAAGGTCAGCATCACAGTAAAAGCCTATGTTTGTTGGCTTTGCACGGGCGTGGCAAACAACCTCACAACCCTTTCTGCCCCACTGCGGGTTGTTAGACTGCCCAAGAACTCTGGCAGCGGAGGTGGCGCATGCTGCCTACAAAGCGCTCAGGCAGGTGGCTGTAGGATGTTGGGGTTTGGTTCTAATTCAAAGTCCTAGCACCAAGCGAGTAATTGGGTGGATGCTCTCAGGGTTTATGGACACATGGACACAGAATCGACTGGACTGATAACTGTGGCATTGGGCAGTGCTCGTAGTCTCCCTGGCCGCCAACTGTTGGAGGCATGGCACAACCGCTTCAAAAGTGAGCGGCGCAACGTGGGCCCCTCGCGTGATCAAGGCCAGGTCGGGGGGAGGCTTGGCTTGCTCAGCTTCCTATCCCGGAATCGTGAAGGCAGCGTGTAGGCACCTTGAAGACTGTTGAGTTGGAAGGGGGCAATGTAAAACTTCTAACGGCCTCGAGGCGTCTGGTATCAAAATGTTGGTGCATTTGGCATGCTCGCATTCTCCCGTCATGGCCGCCCAGGGAAGTATCACCGGGTCTGCCCAGGATACCTTCATGCTCCTTGGGCCTGCACGTTGAGCAAAACAGCGCGGCACCGCGTTCCTAGAAATGTCACTGAAAATCATGAGCATGCGTGAGCTTCAAGTCTTCAAGGTACAGAGATCAGGATGGCATCAGGTCGTTCATGCTGGACGATGATGGGTGCGACGCTTGAACTGCAGAGATCCCTCCAAAGCTTTCGGAAAGAACGCGCTGCCAAAAGCTCCCTCGTTTGAAGACCCAGCACCTGGGACGCTTGCACGGTCACTCGACCAGGACTGCCACTCCACCCTCTCCATGGGCCATGCCATGTGCGGCGGCGGCTGTAGCCAGAGTTATGGCAGCCTGGCTTGGTTGCAGTGGGGATGAGGGGAGCGGCAGGAGGCCACAAGTGGCACTCTTCCTCCCGAACTGCTAAGCATGCCCAGACATCAAGGGCCTTTTTTTTTGAGCAGCGCAGGCTTCTCAAGTGGATAGTCCAGTTTGCAGAAGTTTACAGGAGGTTAGCATGTTTAGCCTTTTTTTAGTGTCCAAGGCAACTGCAAGATCACTGGAGGTGTGGACAAGCTTTCTGACGCTCAGACGGATCTTAGTGTTAAAGCTGCTGGTCTTGGAGGTTGCATCTGTAGGGCGGAGCACGGTGGAACTTTTTGTGGCATGAATTGGTCAGAACTTCGATGATGGAGGTGCCGTTGAACGTCGCAGCACGGTGTTTGCGTTTTCAAAAGCCTTCGGCTCAGGATGCGCAGATGACTGGCAGCGCGGGCTCCGGTCATCACTGCACAGGACTGCCATGGCTGGCATGACTTGAACTTGCATACCGCGGTGTGTTCGTCGCCTGCGTATGACAGGCAGGATCGGCAGCAGGCATTTGCGCTAAAGTGATGAGAAGTCCAGGACCTCAACTTGCCTGCCACAGGACCGGCCACGGACTATGGCCTCTCACTTTACTACTATGCCCCTTAGGTGTGGGACTCAGGCTGCAGCTTGCATGGCCTTTTGTGCAGCATGCCCTCGACTGAAACAAGCTGCTTGTCTTGCCGAGGTCAGGTCGCAGCTGGCACAATCGATGATGTTGCAAACAGCCAGCGACGTACTGCTCCTGCCAGCCCTGCAAAGCCCAACTCAGTCTGCGCCCTTTTGACCTGAGGTCAGGTTGGGCGTAACTTTTTCCAGAGTTGTCATGGCAATCCTCTTTGCGGTCACGTAACCAAAAGACGAGCTTTGTTACGCCGCGGTATCTCGTTCCTTTGAGGCTGCATTTAATTCAAAAGCAGGGCCGGGCGATGACTGGATAAGGGTTTTCGGTGCTCTAGCAAGCAAGCCGCAGCTGGACATGGCAGGGCTTCTCAAAGCGGGTGATAGCGGGGTTAGCTGTGTTGGAAGGCATCTTCATTCAATCTTCATCCGTCTGGCTTGCACCGGCTCCAGGGAGGCTAGACTCAACCCTTCACGCGCCCCCCGCGCGGCACACAAGGCAGCTGCTTTATTTTCAGTGCCACATAGCCATGGTGCAAAAACTCGCATACATGCGGTGAGATGCCGGAATCACACAAAACCTCACTGAAAGCCATCGGACCCACAACAGTAATACATCAGTGGCACATCTAAATCTGAGAGTATACCATGACTCAGCTTTAGCTGAGCCACCCAAAAGCGAAATTCATGTGGAATTCTTTGTAGAATCTCTGAACTCGTTGAAGATGCTCTGCTTCTGAGCCAGCACGCCAACAACAGGCAAAAATGCTGGAGCCGTTATTTGCAACGGCTGCGGCCGACCAGGCAGGGGAACTGTACTGTACTCTTGTGCCAGGCCTAAGCACAACTCCACATAACTACCCGACTACCTCTGCTCTTACCGCTTTTGGATCTTTTCTTGGCTTGTGCAAGGCGGCTGCGGATCCGCTGAGCCCTCCCTGCGAAGTTGCAGTACAGGGTTTTTGTGTGGTTCTCACCCTGTACCGCAGGGTGCATATGACATCTTTGGACTATGTTTCTGGAATGTGCGAGGAACTGATACTCGGGACTTGAATGTTGGCGTGAGCAATCCCAAGATCACTGTAACAGGGACAGGGTGTGACGCAGCTGCTATGAAGACGCGACATGTCAGTTTTTTTTTGGCTTGCATGGACGCGGTTGTTGTCAGCTAGCCTGCGAAGAACGCTGGGTGCAATGATGATGCATCCGAGCCAACCTCTTTTTACACACCAGACCTCCTCATGAGAAAAGTAATCCACGCGCCTGCCAGATCCTTTCCCGCTTCCGGCGAACTGCAACATGGTGTCAGCCCTGGTTTAGAGGAACAAGGGATGTCCTTGCGACCTGGAATTGCCGTGCTGCGCACCAGGGTAAAGCTGTGCATGCTTCCGGGACACACTTGCATGGCATGTAGCAGGCATTGGAGACATGAAGATGACTACAGTTGTGAGTCATACATTATACGTCTTGTGTCGTGCCATATCATTGGCTACGTGTGATACTGGTCTTAGCAGCAATGTGCAAAGCTAAAGGACATGGGAGTAGCGTTTGACGGTAGCAAACGTCCTGTCGCAAGAGCAACATCCACTGCTGCCACGACGCCTACGGCTGCTATTGCTGCTACCAAGCCTTAGGGCAATCAATGAGGCTGGTTGTTGCAGGCAAAACTGGCAATCCCCGTTTGCGAGTCCTACGTAGACATACTTTTCAAACCAGAACACGTCTCACTTGAGCTCTGGAACATATACGTACACATGAACACTGAAGCAGTTTGTGTAACTGTTTCGACTGTTTGTGTCGCCGAGGCACAGATCATTTTCCTGACCGTGATGTGACTTTGCATGCATATTATCTTTTTGCTGGGCAGGTTCTTGCCAGATAGAGATAGAGGGCATACAGCAGCGCACCAAGCGCTTAAGCAGACATGCATGCCCTGGGCCTCGCCGGAGGTATGGCTACGTTCTCTTTCAGGTCACATCCCCAGAATTTGTTCCCTGGAGCCTTGAAAGTTGGAGAGAGAAAAGCTTCAATAGCACGACCTCGTGCTGCAGTAGATCCCAAGTCAAGACTGGTGTAGTGCTGAATGCTCCTTTGGTGGCTATTGTTCCTGATCCTGGGCTGGATCCTGGACATAATGGTATCAGCATACTTCTCGTGTAAAGTGGCCTAAAAGACGTATCGCAAGAGTATCAGTCTTTGATACCAGGAGAGTGGTGGCCATGGTCACGCATACTCTGCATCGTATTCAGTTCCCATGCCTGCTTACAGTCTTTGCAGCGGTTGTTGCGGAAGTGATTGTGCTACTTTGGGTAGCTTGTGGCGACTTGGGGCGCGTCTGTTTCATTGCGCACCTCCGCAAGGAGTCATGATGGCCCGGTGCTGGAAAGCCTGCAGGTAGTTGATGGAGCCTAGTCAGTCTGCAGCTTTTTTGAGCCCCTTAGCCTTAGCCATCATCCCTCATAATCATGCGTGCATAAGATACCCTCAGCCAGTCGAGAACAGTCGCTATAGGGGTCGAACCCAGAAGCTGTTGACCGGTCTTTGACTGCGCGAATTTCAAAGGCCTCCAATCTCATCAGCGATGGGAGCGAGCTGCTCCTGCCATACCAGCAAGTTACAACTGACATTCTTGCTAGAGCCATGGGGGTTTGCTAAGCCTGGGTGTAGACTGTTTGGCTCCCATGCGCTATATCCTGAGAGCGCATGTTTTTCTAGCTCCAGAATGTTGCAAGTACCTCTTGCTCCTCAAGAGCTCTCCAACCCTGCTGCCAGGTTGGTGCCGGCTGCCGCGCCGGTGGTCGGTAGGCTGAGTCGTCGGGTGTAGCGTTGCTGAAGGAACATGTGGCAATTTGGCGCCACTAGCACTAGTGTGAACATAGCATGCGCTATGGGGGCGACATATATATTCCTGCCGGGCCAGAAAAGTTCGCAAGATTACTTTTTCCTTTCGAACAAGAGCGGAGCCCGAAAATCTACACGCAAGTTTGATCGCAATAAAGGGGTGACAGTACTGAAGTTCTGCACCAGAGAAAATCCCGATTTTAATAGCTTTCCCTTTATTTGTACTACTTGTAAGTACTACGACTGTACTACTGAGTCCTAGCCCCACTCCCTGGTTCATGATTGCCATTCTTTCTCGATAGACCAAAAGCGCGAAATAATGTGTGGGGGCGTGGGAATCCTAGCTCCCAGGAATTGCAAACGTTCCAATCGCAGCAGGGATTCCATCGAGCTTGAGAGGCTAAGAGCTGAAATACAAACACTGGCTCGTCAAATCCAAGTGATGCGTAGCTGTCAGCCATCAGTAAACAGTTGCAGTTAGAAGCTAGGCTAACGCTGAAGCTGCAAGATATCATAGAGTTTGAACCCACGACCTAGCACCTCGAGCATCCAAAGGCGGGGTGGAAATCCGCTGCCATGACCCCGAGAACTCCAAAGCAAAGGGTTGAGGATTCACTCCCTGAATCAAGCCTGCCTTTTGTCAGTGTGGTGCTGCCTATCCTTGGTGCAGTTCCGGATGGGATGTGGCAGCCTCAGGTCCAGGGGTGAGCGTCTGAAGCATACGCGAGAAAAGTTTTGGGTGAGGAGTGGCTTTCAGCTCATGTTCAGGGTCTTGGCTTATTGGTCCCCTGATGGTTTTCAGATGATTCGCAGTTCCCGGCTTTCAGTTGTCACTTGAGCTTGTACTTTTATCTGGCTGTGCATCAGATATGTCTGTGGCCACTCTGTACGGGTCGCAGCCCCTACCAAGCCTTGCTTGTCACCATTCTTGTTGAAGCGCCGTTTTGATTTCAACTGCCGGATGAGGATGGTTCTATTCAGTGGCCTGGGCCCGGATGCACAGAACCAGGCCTCTCGCACTTGTTCTACCGGGTTGACCGGGCCTTGTTGCTTCGTGTTAAGTTTCTTGCCCATTAAGGTGCGCAGATGGTAGCAATGTGCAGAATGCAAGGTACTGTAGGAAGCAGCGGGCTTTAAGATGATCCAAATTTGCGCGTTGTAGCTTCGGCTGCCACTTGCAGCTCGTGGGGCGCTGAGTTTTGGCTGTCCCAGGTGGTCCCAACTTTGCAGAGCGATCGCAGGTGAGCGTCGGCGTGGGCGCCCTCGCCGGCAGCACCGTGATGCTGCTGACGCTGCCATGGTCTGCCCGGCCCTACTTACGCAGGGTGGGCATGAATCAGCCACTAGGAATTTTCCAAGGACTGACTCAGGCGGAGAGCTCACGCGCGAAAATGTCATTTTCCAATCGCAGCAGCAAACACATCCAAAAACAAGAGGCAGAATAAGAATGAGCGACAAGAGAGAGAGACGAGGTCTCCAGAAACGGAGCCGAAGCTTGCAGCTTTGATTCCTTGAAGAAATCTGGAGCCGCCATATGGACAAGATAATCCGGGAGCATTGTTGCAGCTCAGTCTTCAGAGGTTCCTGGCAGTGCTTGCTGGCCGAGTGCGGGCCTTGGAGTCCGGAGACCCCCAAAGAAGCTCCTGAGACCATTCTTGGCACTGCTGTGCGCGGCATGTATACAGCCACAGGACCCAAAGACTTTTACTCCGGGCCCCTGAGGTGTCGTTGAAGGATGGCAAGCCCACCTACCAACGTCCTGCTGGCGCCGACCCGACAGCAGCGTTGGCGCGCTTGTTTGGCTAGGCACTGATTTGAACATTCATGAACGAATCTGGGTCCCTTCTTGGAATTCGACCTGATGATTCGTAGGATTTGCTGCAGAGGGCACTTTGTGTGGTCAGAGTCAGGGATCAGATCGACAGAGAAGTGACTCATGCTCAGAATGTTTTTCTTTTAAAGCATCCCATGAGTAGGTTGAGCTGAGCTATCATGCTGCATCATGGCAGACCTGGGAGAAGCTATCCCCTCCGGGTACAATGTCCTTGATTCGCCAGCGCCCAAGGACTGCAAACCTAGGGAGGCTCAGCCAACTTTTGTGAGCTTGGAAGCAGAGCCCACGGCCCGGAACACCATCTGACTTGTTT